GGTTTCTGCGACTGGCACTTTTCCTTCTGGGAGCCAGGAGCCAGGAGCCAGGAGCCAGACAAGATATGGATGGCTTGGTTGATGCCCATGGTATGTGCCTGTTCCAATAGAGACACCACTGGGAGGGGATATTGGGTCCATTTTGAAAAAGCAAGTTTCGCTGTCTTGTTGAGTCATACTTTGGAAAATACACTCAAGGTTAGTTTTGCTTGAGGTTGACAGCGCATATTATTTTTGAATGCTGTTGATGAATCAGGTTGGACACACTAAATATATAAGTTGTCGCTTCATTACCTGTAGGGAGTGATTTTACGTATCCGTAAGCGCTGACCACTCCCGTGTGGGTGTGTTCACGGGTAAATAGAGCTAGGGGGAGGAGTCTCTTTCTCTTTCTGGGTTTCAGTTTTGGCCTGGAGAGCAGCGTGTGGACCTTTGGTTCTCGACTTCCTTGGCTTTTCAAGTAAGTGACTTCTCTTTCAATAAAATATCATAGGACATCCCTAAATTTGTGTAGTTTAATATTTTTGCTTCATCTGGTGTCAGAGTGGCTCATCCAGCCCCCAAAACACACCCACACAGGAGTGGTCACCGCTTTTGGATATGTAAAATCACTCCCTACAGTTACCTCTCTCTAATTTTCCTGGTGCTGCTGTCCAAGTGACAACACAGAGTGTTTCCCTATGATAACCTCCTGAGAACATGTTCTCTTTTCTTCATTTGATTCTGTTCCCTAGGCACCGTAGGGAGATACAACATGAATTAAACTGGACCCTAACCACCAGGGCTTTACACTCTTCTGTTGTGTTCTTTGCTGCTGGGATTTGGTTATATGTCTCAGAAAGATCTGTATGTTTAGTTCCCCTGTGATGGTATTGGATAAGGGTTCTGTGAACATTTAAGAGGTGAGGCCTAACAGGAGGTTCTTAGGCCATTAGGAGCTCTGCCCTAGTAAAACTGCTGTGAGATTTCATGTAGGTGTTCTCTCTCTGTCTCCCTCCCTCCCTCCCTCCTTCCTTTCCTCCCCCCTCTCCCCCCCTCTCCTTTATCTCCCACCCCCTTCCCAAAGGAATGTTTCTGTCATTACCACCCTTTACCATTAGGTGACACAGACAAGCCATGGCTTTTCCTAAGCCAGTGTTTTATGTTTTAGAAATCAAGTCTTCCAAACCGTGAGCTAAATAAAACCTTTTCTCTTTATCAAGTTGACTCTTTAGGTGTTTAGTTGTAATGGCACAAAACTGACTACTGTATCGGTATTGAGAGATGTGATTTTTGGGCCAGAATCTTTGCAGGCTGGGTCTCAGTGTTTCTAATGGGCAGTAGCTGGTTGTTTTTATATAAAATTACTTCTAAGGCACCTGCCATTTTAGATGATTTTTTTGTTCCCTACTTCTTGAATTCTTCTAGATCAGCTGGGAATCCTTAACCAGACTGAAATAGGATTGTTTTGGTAATAGCGCAGCAATAATCTTAGATTCCAAGCGACGCGGTGTTTTTGTGGCTAGTATATCTGTATGCAAGATCTTTTTTCTTTTTCTTTTTGATTGCAAAAGTCTTCATTACCTGTTTCACCCTGCATCATGCTTGCCAGAGGCTCAATTATGTATGGCAGAGCAAGATGCACTTTTGAGAAGGGATGGCAGGAGACTTCACCCGAGCCTATATATTCTAGAATCAGGTCTAGATAAATGGAAATTCTTTCCTAAACTTTCAGCCAAATTTCTTGGGGTACTAATTTGAAATGGTGCTATGGCATTAACATATGGCATTATGCATGAACGTAAATAAAGTTCATTTTTATTTCTGCACTGAATACTTGTCTTTGCTCCCCAAATTCATATGTTGAGATCTGAACCTCCCAATGTGATGGTATATGGCGATGAGGCTTTTGGGATGTAAAATTGGCTCATGAGGTTGGTTAGTGCCCTTATCAAAAGACCAGAGAGCTAGCCATTTTTCTCTTTGTTAGGATATAAGAAATCTGCAGCCTTCAAGCAGTAGGGTGCTTCCCATGTTGGCACCTGATGTTGGACTTTTCAGCTTCCAGAACTGTGAGAAATGAGTTTCTGTTGTTTACAAGCTACCAAAATCTACTTTGTTATAACCACCCAAACTAACATAGTTGACTGTCCTTCACCTCTAGGGGAAAAAATGAAATGCAAAAAGGTAACTTGTAGCATCTAAGTGGTATTGTGTTTGTCACAATCACCGGTGGGTTTATACCCGGTTAACTAAACATGCTTAGGAATTTGATTTTTTCACTGTCTTTGTGTGCAGGGCTTCATTAGATGGGTACTCATAGTTACTTTGTTTCCTGTAACCCTCTTTTCTCATCTCCCCAAGAAAGCAAGCCTGATTACCTCTGGGTGAATTTGGGCCCAGTGGCTGAGGGTAGTAAATGCAGCCTTTCTGTTTTCTCCTTAGAACTTTGCCATTTTTCAGGACGCATCCTCAATTCTCTATGTCATAAATCTGACACGATGGGGCTCTCATGAAGAGTCCATGTCTGCAAGGGGGTAGGATCATCTAATTTAGGAACTGACATGCTGAGTCACAGACCTAAAGCTGTTACACAATAACAAAGCTGACATTTCTGTTCCTATGCTGGACTCTTAGATCTTGAGCACAACTGTTCTGTCTCAAAGCAAAAGACAACAAAGCAACATGAATACCCAAATCAACCAACCAACAAGCACAAACCCATGAGTGTAGAGAAACGGTCCTGGATGAACTCAGGAATCAGGCGTAGCTGGAGCTAATACTTCCTTAGACTTTTCAGCTCAGGTGAACCAATTAATTTCCTTTTTGCTTAAGCAAATTTAGGTAATTTTTTTCCTGCTGCTTGCAATGGTAAATGAGCCACTCTTCATATTATTTTCACATTGTTAGCTTTAATTAATTTTAGAAGCTCACAAGTCACCTCAATAGTTTACTTTAGATCCCAGGAGCTAGAGATGACTTTGGAAAGTATTAATTCATCACTAGGAGGACAGCCGGATTATGATATCAAGAGATTAATTATTGTGGGCACCTCTCATGACTTATTTCTTTTGTATACTTGTTTGTTATGTTTTGGAAACAACTATGATGTGATACTTAACCCTGACTAGTGTTTAATCAAAACCTTTCAAAATGTGATCAGTTCATTTTTTTCCCCTTCTGATTAACTGGAGAAGAGTCAATCTTGTTCTTCACCATTATAAAGACCATCATAAATATGTTCAGAAAACAGCAAACTCTTCAGGGAAAGTTACTTTAGTTACACACCAAGATAAATGGGGAGAAATATTTTACTGAAAATTTTCATGGAATACAGCAAGAAGACTGCTAAGGGCTGGGCAGTGTGGAGCAGGAAGGACCTTCAAGCAAGGAGAACAAATCAGTGATGGTTAAGAGTGAACCACAATCCTGGCTTCTGAACAGGGATGGCTTGCTGTCTCCCCCTAACCCCATAGGGTTTCTCTCTTCCTTATTTCAGAATTATTGGGAATTAGTTACTTACAGGGACTACATTTCCCAGCACCTTTTGCATCTAGATGTTGTCATGTGACTGGTCAACAATCTTGAGGCCAAGACTTAAAAAGAAAAAGCCATTCACTTTCTTTAAACACACACACACACACACACACACACACACACACACACACAATTATTTTGTGTGTGCATGGTTTTCCTGCATGTATGTATGTCTGTGTGTACCCCCGTGGTGTCTAGTGAATGCTGAGTGAAGAAGAGGGCATTGGATCCCCTGGGGCTGCAGTTGCAGACCATTGGGTGCTGCGAATCAAACCTGGGTCCTCTGGAAGAGCAGTCAGTACTCTTAAGTGCTGAGCCATCTTCTCTCCAGCCTGGTTCTCTTTCTTGATGTCCTCCCTCTCTTTCGTCTGTAATGTTTCTTCCTCCCAAAGCTCAAAGCAGCTTGGGGCTTTTGACTCACGAATGAAGGAAAACTTGCCATCCTCTGTTTTGTGAGAGAGAATGCACTTCTGTCATGCTTGGCCACTGTCATTGACTGGCATATTTGATATAGTGTGAACTCAGTGGTTCCCAAAGTGTGGTTTCTAGGCCAGGAGCATCTGGGTAGATTGTTAGTCATGCAAATTTCCCAGGCCCCACCTGCATCCTCAAACTTACTGATAGAAAGTCGAGCCCAGCAATGCATGCTTCCAAAAGCTGTCTAGGCAATTCTAAAGTGTTTATGTCCTGGCGTTATGCTGACCCCGTCCCCTGACAACTGGCAAGGTACGGACACCATCATTCAGGCAGATACTTAGACAGCTCAAAGGGCCTTGTGTTGCATGGCTACCTCACACAGTGGCTGCATAAGGACTCTGTACGCATGTGCAAGCTTTTCCTTTTAAGTGACTGCCTCCCACCTGTTTGCCCCCTTCCCTTTCCATCTCTGCTCCCAGTTGGCCAACACCTACCCCTCCCTCCCTTTGCTCCCTTTCCCCAATAAACTCCATGTGGGTTTTGTGGTTGGTGTTTCATCACCTGCCCCTGTAGCAAACTACAACACAAAGTATTCATTCTCACGTTTGATTAGAGAGAATCTATGCTTTCTTTATATCCTTCCCCACTGCTGCCACCACAGCCTTCCAACAGCCATGAATTTCTGCCCTCAAATTTGGCCTTTTCCTTTCGCCTGGTTTCTTGAGAGAGCCTCTTGCTATGTAGCTCAGGCTATCCTCTAGCCTCTGCCTCCAGCCTATTGCTGGCGTGCTAGGATTCCCAGTCAAGCGCACCTTTCTTGGTTATGTCTCCAGAGCACCTGAAGTTTCCTTAAGCATCGTTGGCTGAAGTCTGAAAACGATGTTAGAAAATCTTGTGAGAAAACGTTAGGTGAATTTGAAGCTTTGAATTTTGAGGAGAAGCTTCTTAAAAACCCGAAACAGCTTAAAAATGACTTCCGTTCAGCTCTAAATATTTTCACTTTTTAAAAGTTAATGTATCTTTAAAAAACTTTGCTTGCCATCTAAAATAATCAAAATTCCTACCAGGTAAATTAACCAATTGGAGTGGCTGACTGAAGGACAGTGGCAATTCTGTACCAAACAATACTGAAGAAAAGCTGTATTGTATTGTCATGAACGTTGGTCCAATAAATTCAGGTCTCAGCATTTTTAAAGAAGATGTTAAAAAATAGGATTCTTATGGTAAGTCTTCTGGTTTATAAGTGTTGGCTTGCATTAAAAAAAAACAACAACTCTAAAATTTTCTGTTGGTCAAACAGGCCTGTGGATTTAATCTAACCCCTGGGTGGCCAACTTCATTATTGTTTGGAAGTACCAGGGAACCGGTCAGGCTGGCTAATGTCTCCTCATCCTCATTAGGAGGCAAAATAACTTTTACACAGATGATGGGCTTCAAAGGAGGGACGGATAAGAGCTGCACAATGTAGTTGCCAAGGTAACATGTTGCTGATCAGAAAGGGATGGCGATCCAGTTTTATGCAGACGCAGTGGGAGCATGAAACATAATCACCCTCCATCTCCTCTCGATAGAAGATCAGTGGGGATAGCGATGGGGACGCAGTGTGGCTGCCTGAGACAAGCAGATAGAAGCAGGAAGCAAGGCTTTCCCCATTTGGAGAGACCCCAGTGAGACCTGATCAACTGGTACCTCGTGGAAGTCACACCATTAAATCTTCCTATTTGCTAGCAGCAAATCAATGAGCTCTGATAGCTGCTGCCCTGGCATCCAGGGAGCTGTGGATGAGCTGTTTGATATCTGAATCTTAGTCGAGGAAAGTTAAAGCATTTTCTTAAAGCAAGGAGAGAAACAAGGTCTCATTAAGTAATGACAGAAGAGGAAGTTTTGTGAGAAGAAACTCAGGTTATTATAAATCGCATCATTTGTTACGTCTATTGTAGTTATCGGTCATTAGTGTTTTGCTCTATGTTTATACTGACCTTTTAGAACAAGAAAGACTTCTCCTTTTTATTTCATTGACATGAAGTTATACTTGACTGTAACACACGATGATGCTCTAGGGTCTGTCAAACATTTTTTTTTTAAGTAAGATCATACATCACTTTATCATCTGTACAATGAGATGGAAATCTTAGGATACCTGAAGACAGATGCTTGCCAGAGGAGGCTCATGCTCCCTTTTGCTCCTATCAGATGCTCCTTTGTTAGCCATGTTGCCTTGACCCATTGCTCGGGAGTTGTCGTCTTCCATGGCCCTGATGCTGAGAGGATAGCTTGCTCACTTTGTAATGGGAGCAAATCCAAGCATTTGCTCCCCCAGCTTCTCCTAGATCCTCCCCCACCTCCCTGCCCATTCAACTTCATTCCCTTCCTTCTATCTTCAGCTTCCCACAAATCAGAACAAACAAACAAATGAACAAACAAACAAATGTCACAATCCAAGCATGAGAACCTAACTTCCATTGCCAGAATCCACATAAAAAAGCTGGATGTGGTACCCAGCTTTTGTAATCCCAGTGTTGGAGAAGCAGAGACAGGTAGATCTCGGGGGCTTGCTGGCTTGCCAGTCTAACCTAGTTGAGGAGTCCCAGATCAGTGAGATACCCTGTTTTGGAAAAAAAAAGAAAAAAGTAAATGATACCCAAAGAATGATACCCAAAGTTGTCACACACACACACACACACACACACACACACACACACGTGCACACAAATTCAAAAATTGTCTAAAAGCCCTAACCTGCAAGTACAAATATATAAAGGAAGACCATCTTGGGATCAAAGGAGAGGTAATCTGGTGCTTAGTGTAGTATGCGAACACAGTGCTGATGGTTGGAAGGATGTTTGGGAGGTGGAAAACCAGCTTGCTGGTGCCCAGTGGAATTGTAAGGATGATCTCTGCAGCTTTTGGTCACCTGAGGCTCATTCCAGGACAGCCTCTGCGAGTCACTGCTTCTTGACTGTGTGTAAAGAGCAGTGAGTGTACTATGGCTCCTGCCTACTCTTGTGCCAGCCCAGTGCCTTGCTCACACTCAGAATAATACTTAATAAGGTCAGTTCCAGGCTCTCCCAGGGGAAAAGAGGCAAGTTTTCTCGTCCATAGTCTTTGTGTTCCCCACATGGCCGTTCCCTCAATTTCCCTCTAAACTCCCAGATCTCCTTTAAACCTAATGGCAAAGCCACCATCAGAGTGAACCCCATTTTCCTTCCTAATACTCATGAAAAGAAACATTTAGAACCTTGACACTGACTTTATCAACAGCAAAAACCATTTCTCTGTTAATTCCCTTCCTGGCCATGAGTCTCTCCTTTTAAACAGGCCACTTCCAGGCTGGAAATCACCCCAAATCCTCAAATAGCCTACATTGTTCACATGTTAATTCCAGAAATTTTCTATTTGTGTGTGCCTTGATGGGGACTCACTTAAGAGAGAGATTTGTTACTGTTTCTACTGACATTTTCTTATGACATTTTGAGCTATCTGAATAATTGCAGTATTTACCAGAAAGAAAAAAAAAAGAAATCCAAGTAATGAAAGGTACCTAAAAATCATTCATATCTCAGCACTATTACAGGTCTTAATTTCCTGTAGCATGGTAAATTATTCATTTTTAAAGACATCTCCAGCTACCCAGAGTCTATGGTAATATATACATAGGAGGCTTGTAGATTGCAAAAAAATCAGTAAATATCACAGATTGTCAAAATAGTAGGTATGACTTTAAAATAATGACACCAGCTAAAAACATCAGATCTTAGCATTGAGATTGCAAGGGGAAGATGAGGATTAAAGAGGAGGAGGTAAACTGCTTAAAAGCCTTGTGCATGCTTAAGAGTTGGTATCCACCCCCACGTGTAAGTATTCCTGTCTCCATAACTTCAGCCTTAGCCAGACCACAGAGATGGCTTTGCAAGAGCAGAGGGCAGAGAATGTGCTCAGGCTCTCTGACCTTACTCTGGACAGCTCTGAGAGACCAATGAGAAGAGTTAGGTTAATCTGTCCCACTTGATGAGATGGGTAATCATCACCTTTGATTGACTGTATTGAGAATCTCATAGGCTGTTGAGGCACACTTCTAGGTATGTCTATGGCGGTGTTTCCAGAGAGGATTAACGGAGGAAGAAAATCCTACCCTGAATGAGTACTGTACCATCCCATGGGCTGGGGTAGGAAGAAAGCAGAAAACGGAGAATGTGACATTGTTCTCCCTCTGCTTCCTGGTGTCTGTGAGGTAACAGTTCCTACTACACAGGCCTTACCTTCTCCACCAGTATGAATAGACACCCTTTGAAACCCAAGCCAAAGTAAATTTTTTCTCTCTTATGCTTCTCTCTGGTTGTATGGTGTTGGTGGTGAAAAGTCACAGATGCAGCTAGCCAACCTAAGGTAGAATGGGAAGCCTTTGCAACCTGACCAAGAGAGAAAGTTTGACCCAGAATAATTTTCTCTTAGTGGAAAATGTTGTCATCAGAGTTTTATGCCCTAAGTGCTCATCAGGACAAGGGAGGATTTTAAGAGGTGAAGTACTCTTCTAACATAAAGTGACAGCCTATTGATAGAAAAGTCAATGGTGAAATGAGATCTCCTGTCCCTTATATCTGGATATGTAAATTCATGTGCATTTTTATGCCTCCAAGTCTCTGCTGGTTTTATCAAAAGACTTTCTCAGACTGGATACATGACATTCTCTCATCAGAGCCTCTTTCCATGATTTTCTTCTCCAAATCGCAATACCGTCATACATGCCTGTGTAATTATTTGTAAGTAATATATGTATTCTTATTCTACAGAGAACTTGGAATTTATTATCAACATGCCCAGAGAAGGATAAAAGAGGACCTGGAGTCAACAGAAAGCAAGGGCAGTAAAATAAATGCCTATCTCTTACTCTCATACACTTGCAAGAAGACAGGAATTTTGTTGTCATCTTCTGATTCCTAAACCCAACATGAAAATACAGAGCATATTAAGAGATGGTTGTACTCTAACATTTAAAAACTGGGTTGTTTTTAGTAAGCTCTCAGTGGGTTCCTTAGCATATGTTAAGAGTTACAGGGGAGGACACTCTCATTGTTCCTACACTGGGTACATACTTAATATCATCCTGCAATTTTTAAACTTTCCTCAAGACTAGGAGGTAGAAGTAAGACAGCCAAGAATCTCTGACTAAAAGCAGCTTGACTGACATTCTAAAACAAGAAAATGGACCACTTTGCTTTAGCTCATTATGGATTAAGAACAACAACACTGGATTGTGCACTTATGTATATGAGGCAGAAATTTTTAGGGCATCTAAAGCAATGAATGGGTGGTTTGTCTTTCACACCTTTATAAATTATTTACTGTAAATGTTTGATAAGGATTATATAGCTGAGAGTTCATGGTTGCATTTTCTCTCTAGAAAGAACCCAGAGTACAGATAGCCTGCGGCCAATAAAGACAGATCGTATGGTTTGTCAATCAAACTGTCAGAATATGCCTATATTGGAGCACTTATCACTTGGTGTAATGGATGTCTATGTCCCGGGCATAGCTGCATCTTCTTTCAAGGGCAGGAACTGTTTCTTTTCTGTCTTTGCATCCCTGGCATCCAGCATAATGTCTGAACCACAGTATCTGTGTAATAGACTGTTGAACTGAATCAATTTAAAAGCTTTGTGTTATCATTCAGTGCTACTGGGCTAAGATAAGGGCCCCAAGGAGACAAGAGCAGGGAACACAGGCTGGGCAAGCTTGGGAGGAAGGGAAAAGACAGAGTCAGAAAGGATGGGAATATGGAATTATCGTCTGAGGAAGGAAGTCCAAAGGGGTAGTCCAGTGAAGGGGTGGCCAAGGGTCCTGAGCCATAGAGTAGGCTACACAGCAGAGGAGTCACTTAGAATGAGCAGGAAAGGGCAGAACACATGGGAAGTATGGAGACAACAATCCTTTCCTGTGGCCAGCCCTTTCCCCCACTATTCCCTTATCTCTGAACTCGAGGCTGAAGCTGTGGGGCATCAATATATTTGCCTTGGGAGTTGTGGGGAGAGCCAGGAAGTGGTAGGAAGAGGAGGCCATTCACTTGGCTGGTCCTGTGGCAGTAGGGGGCAGTCATGGGCAACTGGTATCCCCACATGGCAGGTGGGAACCTGGGCTTCTGGTCCCTACTCAGCACTTGTGGTCAATGTCCTCCATTGATCTTTGCTTGTTGGTGTTCATTTGCAATCCCCTGCCATTGATTTGTTGGTCAATAGGGTGTGCCAGTGTTGAGCAATGCCTCTTCTGTAACTATGTTATAAAGGATTTGGACTTTATTTGCCTGAAGACTCTACTACCTTTTGATTTACACGCTTTGTTAAAGTGAGAGGCCATGTTCATAAGAAGAAACTGACACAGATTCTATTCAAAGGTCAATGAGGAACCAAGGTCTAGCAGTCTACTAGGAGGTCAATCCTGCAAGTGTATCCTTCTCCATTTGATCCTTCACATGAGTAAAGCCTTCTTGATTGAAGCCTTTGAGAGGCCCTGTAGCAAGGGCCCCAGAAAAACCACACCTAGATTCTTGATCCATAGAAATGGTGAAATTTTAAATATAAACAAGGGCCAGACTGAGGTTAATCAACTTGGAAAACTGTGTTGTTGTGGTAGCCTCAATAAGTCCTTAAAAGAATCCACGTGCAACCAGGAAGGGTCTATTCAGTCCATGACTGACTGGAACCATTCCTTTGGGCTTGTGGTGAGGAAAGCAGGGTGATGGTGTGAACACGTCGAGGAGGAGGCTGCTCACTTCACCAAAGGCAGGCATCAAGGTGGAGAAGAAGCAGAGGACAAGATGCATCCGTCTCTCCAGTCCCTCCTCTCAGGGGCTTGCCTCCTCCAGCTCAGGAGTCCCTGAACTCCCAATAATGCCATGCTCGGAATCCGTCAAAATACTGACTTAAATCAGAATGTCTAGGATCCAATCTCTCCTCTTAACAGAGCCACCAGTTGGTGGCCAAGCCTTCAACACATGCGACCCTTTGGGGACATTTCATAGCTACAGAACAATGCAAGTCAGACGATGGCATACAGCAGCACAGGGCAGCACTCTGTGCCAGCAGGAATGGCAAGTATGTGGTGGCCACGGCTGAGGGTGGGTGTGCGCTGACTCTTCCTTCCCCCTGTTCTCAGGGAACTGCAGCTTCCTGCAATGGCCCATCTCCGGGGGAAGCCATTTTCTGCACAGTCAGCACTTTGAATCCTCTATCACCATTTTTCTGTATCATGGCCCCTCTGTCGGAAATAGCTGAGCAGTTTCTGATATGTCTACCTATATTAAAAAACAACAAGGTTTTGAAATTTACTCCTTTGAAGAAGATATCACAATATACTTTCTATATTTTCAATTGATACATAGTTATTATACATTTATGGGCTACAGAGTAACATTTCAAAACATGTATATAGTTTATAATGATAGATTAAGGTAATTAGAGCACTCACCATATCAAACACATAGTTTCTTTACGGTAAGGGCATTCAAAATCTTTACTAGTGTCTATTTTCAAATTTTTCCTGTGTGGTGCTGGATATTAAGCTCCGAATCTTGCATAGGTTTAGGCAATGGCACTACCTTTGAACTACATCCCGAGTTCTAATATCTATTTTTGAATATATGATTGTTTTCAACCATAGCTGTCTCACTGCACTATAGAACATTAGAAGCTGTTTTTTTTTTTTCTCCAACAGCACCCTAACACATTATAGTTATTCATTTTATATGGAAAAAAGTGAGATGCGACTTTGAGAATAAAGGCTTTATTAAGCTGAGTGAAAGCCTGCTCCACTACAGGTCTTGGTTCCTGAAGAGAGGTCAGCATCAAAAGGTGGAGTCCCCTGTGCCTTCCTCTTTGGGCATGGTTGGGCATACCTCTGCCCACCTGCAGGCAGCCTAAGGGATTTTGAACAGCGTTTTGTACAGGTTCCTTCTTTGTTTTCATGTGAGAGCCCAAGGAAGTACAATCGGCAGTGTTCCCCATAACTGGAGTGAAATATGATTGTGGGCGTAAGGGCAAACTCCTGACTCAGCAGGTGAACAGGCAGACTGACTTGCTTCCCTCTGGAGACTGCAGCACTAGCAAGAACTAACATCAGGCCTGAGCAGCCCTTGATGAGGTTCCAAAGAGGGAGCACGTTCCCACCATACAGCAAAGCCAAGACAGAGGGGCAAAAGCTGGAGCCTGCAAACAAAGAAAAAAAAAAAAAAGAAAAGAAAAAGCCTAGTTAGAGGCCATCTCTATCCACCCACAGAAACCCATTGAGGAAAATGAGCCACACTTATCCTCCAGGAATGCTGGGGGAGTGGGGGGGGGGAGAGGAGAGGGAGAGCCATTCAGGAAAACCACAGGGGTAGAAAATTAGATAGTTTATCCGAAAGAGGAAAAATGAACTCAAGAATGCATTTGCTGCCTGGCTACAGGTGAGGACAAAGACAAAAGAGCACCAGAAGAACGCCTTTCCTCCTGAGATCTCAATGCTGTGTCAGTTTATTAACTGACTTGGGAGATGGTTAAATTATTATTCATTTTCTACATGTCATTTTCTCCTAAAATTTGCTAAGCAGTATGCACCTCAAGAGACTTAATTATTCCCCAAACGAGACAGACGCAGTGTGGGTATTCTTGTTTGACTCATGAAAACTGACCCTCTGAGAAACCCAGTGACTAGGTGCAACAGAGTCAGAAACTGGGACTCGGTGGAGACATCCCCACAGTTACCGTGGTTAACTCTTCATGGCATCTTGGGGAGCAGAGCAATGGTTTCCAAAGGGCTTCACTGCCTTATCTTGGAACCTGGGAGCAAACGGGACATTGCAGATGGGATTGAGGGTTTTGTGATTATCCCAGGTTCTCTGGATACCTGTGACCCCTGTCTGGGAAGAAAGAAGTAGGAAGCTTAGGGAATGAGTCAGGATAGCAGAGGTACAGGCTGCCCTCTTTAGAAGCCAAAAAGGACCAAGAAACAGCTTCTTCCCTCCGGTCTCCTGACAACCCACTTCAGAAGTATAAACACAGCAACTCTGAGTTGCTTCAAGCCACCCAGTTGGTGATAATTTGCTACAGCAGCCATAGGAAGCTGGTAGTGCATCTTTGAGGTCTACACAGCTCCCTGACTCTACAAACTCATTTTCATTTTGTGACTTCCCTGGTAACAGAAGCCGAGAAGCTTTTCTTTCCTTGCAAGAACCGCTTGGGCATCTATTTATGGAAGTGATGGATTTAAGGCTGGTGGATCATGGCAACATTAACAGTAATAGTAATGGGGCAGGGGTATAGATCTCAGACTCAGTGTATGCCAAGTTTTGGGCAGGTAACAATATCACTGATTTACAGATGGGGAGGTGAAATTACAGAGAGCCATCAGGTGGTACGGGAGCTGCCTCTGTCACACATGTACATCAGCACCACTTGGGGACATTCTTACAGAGACTCAGTTGTCACAGAAGGGAAGAATGCAATGCTGGTGAAGGTGACACACAGACAGGTGAACTTTAGGTTCTGTTTCCTCAAAGAGGCAATGGGAGGAACTGCTCTTTCTTTTCTCCCTTATGCACTGTAGCTGCCAGAATCAAAAGAAAATGCTTTCCCCTACATTTTTTCTTTTCAAGAGCAGCATCCCTATTGAGAGGGAACAATTTCCCAATGCACAACACATGCCTTTCCCTCCAGAAGCAAGTACGCAGCTGCAGAGGATGCGGAGCTGCCTGTGGGTGAAGAGGAGTGAGGGAGGATTAGAAGTGAGAGGCTACTCTCCTCTCCTGGCCTCCCCTCCCCTCCCCTCCAACCCCGTCCCTCCCACCCCATCCCCTCTCCTCCTTTTCTTGAGCTAGAGTCTCATTATGTAGCCCTGAATGGTCTGAAGCTTCAGATCCTCCTGTCTCTGCCTCCCGAGTGCTGGGATCACAGGCACACATTACATCACAGGCGTACACTCCTGACTACAGAGGACCAGCAT